GGCTGGGACCTTTTTCTTTTACAGGAGCCCAACTGTATGGATGGCCATCCGGTCCCACGTATCCACAAGCACTTCATGATACCAATGCCTTGCTTGAGACAGTTGTCAAAGAGCTGGTTATATCCAAAACTGGACCGCGATACATCATGGGAGATTTCAATCATGCTGCAGCCAAGCTTCCAGCGGTGGATCTTCTAAAGGCCTATGGCTGGATCGAGATTCAAGATCTCGGGCATCAGAGAGGAGAATGGGAACCGATTGCCACATGCAGAGGGGCAACAACAATTGACTTTGTTTTCATTTCCCCGGAGATGATACCATTCTTCCGACGAACATGCTCATGGCCATGGTTTGCTGATCATGTTATCATTGGGGCCGAATTCAATTTTCCAGTGCAACCAGAGCCACAACGCAGTTGGCCCCAGCCTGGAAGAATCCCATGGCATGAAGTTTGTTGGGACGCTTGGCGAGCTCAAACCCCAGGAGTGATTGCAGTCGAGGAGATGAACATCAACGAGGCCTATGCGCTGATTTGCCAGAGGTATGAAGATAGCTTCAATGGCTATATCCATTCTGCTGATGGTCTTCTGCCCATGGGATGCAAGGGAAGAGGTCAACGCTCTAAGCCCACAGATCGAGCGAATGCACTTCCTCTTCTTCGACCCTCGAGACCAGGAGAAGCACACCAATCCTCTGAACTATTGGGTCGCACGCCACAGAGGTGGTTCATCCAACTCAGGAGGATACAGAGTCTTCTCCATGCACTACGGGCAGGCAAAGACACAGCGGAAGCCCAACAGTATCGTGCTGAGCTTTGGGGAGCTATTCTCCGTGGCCGTGGATTCCGTGGGGGCTTCAAAGACTGGTGGAGCCAGCGGCCTGTGCGGCTGCAAGGCAGTCCGCCACATTTACCTCTGAATGTTCCATCGTTAGCCTTGATGGTGGGCATCTTCAGGGACTTTGAAGCAAACTACAAGAAGATGGAGTCCTGGCATCAGAGACACCGGCATGAACTCTTGAATACATACTTCCAGGAGCATCAGGACAGGTTGTTCTCCCTGATGAAGCCGGATGGGAAAGCTCCTCTCCAACATCTGGTGGAGACGCAGACCACTGAAATTCTGGCCGTCTCCGACGACCAGCAGATGATTCACACGGCAGAGGAGGTGATATGGAATCCCCAAGCAGTTTGTGACATTGATGGAGTGCAGGTGACAGTCCAACAGGTGGATGGGCCGGTAGTTTCAATTGCACATGAGACCTTGTTCCAGCAACCCTGCACATTCACAACCAAAACTCACTTCGCCACCCCAAATGCCATCATTGGAAAGCTTGAAGAGTTCTGGAAACAACGATGGTGGAAGCAGACGCCACCTGCATCCTCTGATTGGGACAGAATGTTCGCCTTTGCTGAGCAATACCTTCCAAGGGCTCAGATGTCTTATTCTCCCATTTTGGAGGATCAATGGTCTGAGGTCAACAAGCGATATGGACCAAGATCGGCTCGGGGGCCTGACAGTATGGATAGAAGGGACCTTCAATGGCTTCTACCAGATCTCCAGGAATCCCTTATCAACCTCCTGAACCATTGTGAGAAATTGGGACAATGGCCGGATGCCCTGCTGGCAGGCTTCGTTTATCCTTTGCCGAAGAAACCTGAAGGGACAGCAGCAGGGGACTTCCGCCCGGTGATCCTTTACTCCATGGTTTACAGAAGTTGGTCATCCCTAAGAGCAAGAGAATGCCTTGGACATCTGGAAAGGCTTGTTGATCGTCACCAATTTGGCTTCCTACCTGGCCGTGAAGCAGTGCAAGTGTGGTTCACTATCCAGGCCTATATCGAGATCAGCATGCTGGCCGGACAAGAACTTTGCGGCTGGGTCACGGACATTCAGAAGGCCTTTGAGAACATTCCCAGAGGTCCAATCAAGTGGCTTTCAAAGAAGTTAGGTGTACATCATCGCATTGTGAACTTCTGGCACAATTTCCTGGACAACACCACCAGGTACTTTTCGCTGCATGGGGTGGTGGGACAGCCCATGCTTAGCAATAGTGGATACCCTGAGGGATGTGCTATGTCATGCTTTGCAATGGGGCTTGCTGACTTGGTCTTCCATCTCTACTTGCAAGCGTATTCACAGATGGTCACCCCAGTTTCCTATGTGGACAATTTTGAACTCATTGCGAACTCTATGGAGCATCTTCAACATGGCATACTCTGCACAGAGGAGTGGAGCGAAATGTGGCATATGAGCCTGGACAAGGCCAAAAGCTTTGTGTGGGGGACCAGCGCCAAACTGCGCAAGGAATGCCAATCAATGGGATGGAAACTCCGAGAGAGTGCAGTTGATCTTGGCGCGAACATGGTCTATGGCAAGAAGAACTACATTCAGGGTGCTCTGGAGCGTCTCAACGGTATCAAACCTTTGTGGGATCTCCTCAAACGACTCCCGGCAGCTGACTGGAAGAAGCAACAAATCCTGCAGCAATGTATTTGGGCAAAAGCATTTTATGGTTGCTCCAATTCTCCTCTGGGGAAATCACACATTCAAGATCTTCGATCTGCAGCCATGAAGAGTCTTAAGAGAAACCGAGCGGGAGCCAATCCACTTCTGGCTCTGAGCACACAGGAGTCGATGGCTTGTGATCCCGGCTTCTACCAGCTCTGGAATGTCCTCACCACCTTTAAGCGCATGCTGGACAAGCAACCGCACTTGGTGGAGATGTGGAGCTATTTCATGAACCATTTTGCAGGTCAACGCAGTATTGGTCCATTCGGGAAACTACTTGAGGTTGCAGGTGAAGTTGGTTGGTGCATTGAGGTCCCAGGCTTCTATGATCATGATGGTTTCTGGGTCTCATTCCTTGACATCACTGAAAGCGCTCTGAGAGGCATCGCGGAGGACGCATGGTGCCAACATATGGCCAGAACAGTGAGCAAACGGAAAGACTTTGAGGGCTTGCAAGGATTTGACCTTGCTGTTTTTCGAGCGGCGAGAAAGAAGCTGGATTTTCGAGTCCGCAAGATGCTGCAAGCGGTGCAGGATGGCTCCTTTCTGGATGCCAGAGCACAGAGCAAGTTTGACATGGGCAAGAGTCGTCTCTGCGCTCGATGCGGTGAGGATGACACACATGAGCATCGCTGCTTTCGTTGCCGTGACTTCTCAGAAATCCATGCAAAGCACCAGGAAATCATCAGCGAGGCCAATGATCTCACATATGCACTTCGCGCCCATCTTATCCCCTCGAGGAATGAGCATTGGGCGGCTTTCAAGCTACATCTGGCCAAGCCAGAACATATTGAACGACATGCACTACCTAGAGGGGAAAAGAGAATCGATCTCTTCACAGACGGCAGCTGCTGGAATCCTGAACTTCCTGACTATGCCATTGGGGCTTGGTCGGTGGTATGTCCTCAGGCAGATCGATGGGTGGCCCGGGGGACGCTCTCGGGACTTCGTCAGCACAACGACAAAGCTGAAGTACATGCCATCAAGAATGCGTTGGACATTTCCTTTGACTTTCATGGAGATGTAATCATTTGGAGTGACAGCGCTTTTGCCACTTCGGGGCTACATCGTCTTCTTCAAGACCCACACGATTCACCCGAAGATCCAGGTGATGGCCTATGGATGGACATACAGGGACTAGTGAGCGGAAGAGCTGGTGCATTGTATGTGCAACATATTGCCGCACATCGAGATGGCTGGAAAGAGAATGACCCAGTAGATGCTTGGACAGCAGAATGGAATGATAGAGCTGATCGTGAGGCTGGAGCAGCTCAACTCCTTCGTGGACAAGACTTCATGGGGTGCAGAGATCAACTCCTTCGTGCTCACAGACAATCACTTCGCCGACTGCAGCTGACACAGAAGTTGCACATGGACGTCTCAAATCACAGGCTTCAAGCAGGACATCAGGAGGATGAAGAAGAGGGGGACCATGATTCCGCAATGAGGGCTTGGCGGCATGGTCGTTTGCTACATGCGGACTCCAGTTGGCTGTTCGCCATGGATCCAAATTGGCTGATTCACCTTCCTGGGTCAGACCTTGTGGCTAGATTTGGGATGAAGTTTTCTCGGGCCATGATTCAATGGCTCCATGACCAACGTGATGCTGAAGATTCGTTGGACACCAGATGGACGTGGCTGGAGATCGCGATCTACTGGCTCAAGTACTTCGACGACAAGCTCCCTACGCCTACTTCTTTTGGGACATGGGAGGATTCGCTGAGAGGCGGTAGACACCGTCCAACTGTGGCGGCGATCGTACATTTGGTACGTCGTTTTTTCCACTTTTTGAGCCCTTTTCTTGGGGTAGACATCCTTTTTAGCAGTGGCCAGTCACTGCTTCCATTGGCGGTGCACCCCCCACAGGGGGGTGTGCACATTCGATTGACCCAAGGGGTCCTGACGGAGGCTCAAGAGGCTCTCCTTGCTTTTGTTGCTCACCGCCCAATACGGGTAGTGAATGACTTGACGCGGCCACTTCGGTAGCGGTGGTGCACATAAGGTTTGACTGCCACTGCTACCGCTGTGGCATGAACCGAGACTGCAGTCCGCGAGTGTTGCTCGAAACCTAACCAAAAAACACCAAAAACATCTTGGATGATCCGACCAAGCTACGCAATGGCCTCATCTTCATAGCCACCTGAAAGCAGCTACTGGGGTCGACCAAGGCATGAGCGAAATAGCCACGCACCGGCACCTGGCCCAGAATCACGACAAACCATGGGATGGAATGAGGTAAAAAAGAATCTTGCGACTACACCAGGCAATGCTTTGGGGAATATATGGGAATATATAAATCTGATGTATCTTCTTTGCGACAAACGGTGGGCATTAGGTCATTACATTGGACCTGGAAGAGAGCCACGGGAACTCCAAATTTGCTGCGTCCAAATGTAACTGGTGTTGTTATTTACAAGCATAGTCAAGCATTTATATGATCATATATGATCATATATCCATTTTCTGAGGTAAACCCATGAGTCACAAAGCCTACAGTCCAATCCATTTCGCAACGGCACTGGCAGTCACTGCATTTCCGTGAGCCTCATCATCCCAGGCAGCCAGCCAGTTCTTCTGCAAGCGGCAACCTGTCCAGTGGCGTCAGATGCAAAGATGATCGAAGATGATCGAAGATGATCAAAGATCTTAAGCTGTCTTTGGAATTGAAGGTGTCAAGAGACGATTGAAGATGTTAAGCTGTCTTTGGGTTCTTTGGCTACTTGGCACATCTTAGTACTTAAATTGCAGAGACACTTGGGGAAGTCAGCCTAGGCCATGCACACAAGGCCCCCTTCAGCCAACTCCGAGGTTGATGTAGTGCCGTAGCGATAAATGCTGGGGGAACCACCTAGTTCTTGGTATCTGCATCAAAAATGCCAGGAATGGTCATGAGTCATGGAGCATCCCATCATCTTCATTTCTAATCTGCTTGATGGTTCAATCACTTCAGGCCCAAAAAGTCTGCGTCAGATCATCATTCCAGAATGAAAAACCCGAATAGACACTAATCACACCGGAAACCACCAGCCAAATTCATTGGCATATATTATCCCAGGATACCCCATTTGTCTTGATCCAAGGACAGTATATAGATTATATTAGAATCATCTGAAACCCTTTGATGGTTCACCCCTCAGAAATGCTACAACGCTTGCTATCGCCCAGTGGCAAAGCGCAGCCAGGATGGCACACAGCGCGTCCCTCTTCTGCCCCTGCGAAGTTTTCCGCGCCAGCGCCAGGTGACTACTCAGGCGCCGCCGGCGGTCAGTCGCTTCGCCCCTGTGAAAGACGATGAAAGGGTCCAGCAGGGAAGCCTACCCTCGGGTAAACTAAAGTAGCTATGGAAAATGGCCCATTTATAGATGTTTTACCTATTAAAAATGGTGATATATGGTGATGTTCCATAGCAAGCTGTTAGTTTACTGGAGGGTAATCAAACTTGATCAACTGTTGGGTACCTGGTTTGTGGGAGCAGGGCTTGGTGCAGATCCATCGTTTCCCCACACCTGAACTTGAGGACCCGGTAGTTCGAAGCTTGATCTTGTTCTGCGACCGACCTCGAGTATAAATAACGAGTGTTAAAGGATAAAAAAAACAGGTCCCCCAGTTGAGCCAGTTCGATGAAACTGGAGTTGTTGCCAACACTGGATCTGTGAACTCCCATGGGCCATCTTCAACAGTCAAGATCTGTGAAGTAAACCGAGGTCGCGGATAGTGCACACAACTCCAAAAGAGAGGAAAAAACCCAGAGGCACAGTCTCAAATCGCCAGCAAAGAATCACTCCATGTTCTTGGAGAATTGAATGAATTGAATAGACTCCTGTTAGACTCCTGGGGGGAATTGTTTTGGGCACGGTTCGAGCTCCAATCCTTTCCAGGCGACTCCAGCAGCTCCAGCGCAATGCGGTGAAGTTGGCTGTAGATCTTCGTCACTTGCTTCGCACAAAGCTCTCGCGCCAAGGCATAGTCCTCGCCAGGATGTCGGATGGCTCAAGTCTCAGGGGTAACAATTCTGCGACATAGCAAGGGGTCATGGCCACAATACCCTCTGGTTATTTAACATAGCTATTGAAAATGGCCATTGAAATAATAGTTGATTTACCCAGCTACATAGCATGATGATTTTCCAGTTCGCTATGTAAACGTTTACCAGAGGGTATGTCATGTCGTCATAGTCTCCGGACATCATTCCTATGTCATTCCTGTGAACCACCCGGTTCAGGTGACAGCGCACCAGCCCTCTGATTTGGCGACCTGCTTCTCCGTGGTGGTCTTGACATATTCGGAATGCCTGCAAGTTGAAGGGCTGATCCATGGAAGTCAAACATACGGACGTCTAAGGGTCATCTGTCTCACTGGGCATCTTTCAGACTTTGAGATACAGTATGCAATTCAATTGGATTTCTACAATATATCAAAATCATAATATGTTCCCTCTTCATCTTTTTTTCAGATATCCAAAGTTGCCTTTGCACGACCTTCTAAGAGAAAAGCACAGAAACATCCCTGCAAAACTACGACTCACATCTCACATCCACCCGCCAAGTCACAAAGTCTCGTAGAGCTCCAGTGCCTTCTGCACTGTGTCGTTTTCTGCGGTGTGTTCGACTCGTTCGACTCGTTCGACTCGTTCGACGCGTCGGCGAATCACCAGCTTCACGGACTTCACTCCCGGTTTCACTGATCGACCTGTCGGTGCCTTGGCGAATTCCTTCGCCACTTTGACCACTTTGACGACCTTGGCGACTTTTTTGGCCACCTTGGCCACCTTGGCCACCTTGGCCACCTTGGCCACCTTGGCCACCTTGGCCACTTTGGCCACCTTGGCCACTTTGGCACATGCCGCCTTCCGGTCGGCGCCAAAGGCCGTGGAGACCCGTAAGGGAGAAGCCACGGGCCGCAAGGGACGCTTCTCACCCGCCATGGCACTTGGGCTGATATCGATCTAGGTGAGCTTTTCTTTAGGACTAGCGGAGGTCACTGACATAGGACCAATGGACCTCACAAGGAAGTTGTTCGCAGTACAAGTTGGCCAGGAATTCAAAAAATCATGTCAAAATATGTCAAAATGATCTCTGAAGTGGCATGTTTTGGCTCATATTCAGTCAGAGACTCATCTTCAGTCAGATCATCCAAGGCCTCATGACCTCTGCCGCACAAGCAGTGCCCTGTTTGTTGCTCCATCTGTCATGCCTGTGCTTGAAGCTCATTCGGCATGCAGGCGAAAAATCCAAATATGGCTCCAAAGGTCAGAATGTTGCGATAATTCTTGGTGCCGCAATGGTCTGGCAATCCAACTGATGTGGTTCAAGCATGAGTGTGTTTCAGAATATCATATAGAAGACATGACATCATATCTAAACATCATATCTAAAATCTAAACATCATATCTCAACATGAAGAACTGGATACCGTAGTAGCCAGGCGCCTGGGACAGGTGATCCCAGTGGTCCCAATCCCATTCAGACATGCGGTCCCGGTTCCTGCGCCGACTTGCCGATGACTCCAGGAGTCATGGCAAATTGGTACAAGTCGTGAGGCCCCCGTTCGATATCCCAAGATATCTAAGTTGGTGCGTTTATAACTCCAATGTCACTATGGTTTATGGTACTTCTAACGAACTAGTTACTGGGGCGAATCTAAACCAACGTTCACATCACTGGGGGGCCTCACATTGTATGGAATTGGCATGGGAACCTGGTCCAAATGCTGAGACTTGGTAGAAACTTTGACAATTTGTCGACTGTCCTTAGGAGAAACTCCAAGCGGCTGTCATCCTTGGCGAGTCTTGGAGACTTCAAAACCAATGATGAGGGGAACCACGGGGTTTTTTAGGGGAAATAATGGGAAATACTTGGAACAGCTTAGAAAACCAGCACAATCACCAACTTCAATTCCAAGAGTTTTCCCATCAAAGTCCCAAGATTACCCTGCATTGCCTAGCAGTGACATCCCACAATTTCATTGCAACATTCCCAATGGTTATACTGTCAAGACATGGCCATGGCAAATCACAAATGAAGCCCCGAAATCCAATCGTTGAACATCCTTTCTGGATCTTTCTGGTATACCCAAGTTCATATCCCAGAAAAAAATATATATATATGTACACATATAACTTATTGTAAATCATAAATCGAGTTTCAGTAGCTTCAACATGCTTTAACCACTTCCAGTGGCGGTTTTTAGTTCTCCAGGATCCCCCACATGACAGGTGCGGGCCGCAGCACGAGCGCGCAACACTTGCCGCAGCTCAGCGTCCCAAAAGCTCCTGCAAAAATCTCTGAAAAAACGGCGATTAATGGTGATTAATGGTGGTTAATGATGATTAATAACGGCGATTAATGGTGATTAATGATGATTTCACTTACCTTCTGGTAATTTAACATAGCGAACTGGAAAATCACCATGCATTTTTAATGGGTAAATCCACTATTTCGACTGGGCCATTTTCAATGGCTATTTGCCAGAGGATAAATTGGATAAATTGGATAAATTGATGGTAAAATGTGGTAAACAGATGCAACACCATCATGGGATTCTTCTGGGATTCTTGTGGGCGAATCCCCCCATCCACATCATCCACATCTTAATTCTTGGTGAAAGGGAAATGTTGCATATACATATACATATGTATTTATGTGTATATATATATGAGTATATAAATCTATATGTATGTATATATATAATATGGATCAAATGATCAAGTGCCTATCTGTGGTCTACGTCCTATTGATCCTATTGAAGATTGTGAAGGATAGACATGATAGAAGGACAACCACCAACAATCCATCACGAGAACCATGAACAATCCACCATGCTTAGATCTTCGTATGAAAGAGCTTCTGAAGAATTGGGGTCCTCATTAATTCAATGTATGATAATGTATGTATGAATGTATATATATATAGCTCATATGCGTTGCTCCATGTTGATCGAGATATACAGGCATTTGTTTTGTAGGGTCCTCGGGTTCGGGAAACATCCAGGTGATGTATGTCTGAATCGCCAAGACCTGAAATATGAGCGACGTTTTGGCATGTTTTGGCTAATGGCCCAGCCTCTGCATCATGGCATACTGCACAGCAGTAGTGTGCAGACCTCCGGCGCTCTCGAGTTGAGAAAACATCTTAACATCGTGCCTGAACTCTGCACAACACGAGCAATTAACACCGGGGTCTCCTGATCATTCTATGCCCAAAGAACGATCCTCCCTGGAAAATCTGGAAAGGATTCTGCGATCCAGCTTCGAAGCAAGTGCCATGGCTGAGCACCCGAGCTGTCACAAACTGAGCTGGACCTGAGTAAAAATGCGAAATAAATGGTGAATCCACGTTGGGGATTGCAGAACTCTGTTGCAGGGAATAATGCACCTCACCTGCGTATTTCTGATGTTTCTGCTCCATAATAAAAAACATCGCAAGGTAGTTGTGATCAATCTTGGAATCTTGGAAGCAAATCTTCTCGCAAAAGAAACTTACCAGCACGTATCAACAAGCATTTCAGCGCAAACCAGGCATCGTGATGGCACATGCTGAAACAACAGGATGGAGAGAACCCGTCACTGGAACCCGATCCTTTTTCTCCCCCAAGACCCCGCGGTGTACAGCGCAAGTTTCGCCTCGAAATGCTCCTACTCAGTAATGACCGCTGAAGGAGGCGGTAGAATCTCTGTTTTCTTCCCCTGGATAGATCAGTGAAAGAGGGCTGCGAAGTCATCAGCAATTGACTTTAAATTGGGAGCAATTTTGTATGCAGATGCAGCAACTATGGGATGCTCTAGGATGCTGCCTCCAAGCTATCGGTCATTACTCAGCCCAAAAAAAACTACAAGCAGCCGCTCAGTCCCTTGGAAGCTGCGATCCACTGCGCCAGGGCCTATGCCATGGCTGCCATGGCCATGGGGCGTCGATATGCCACTGGCCGTGACAAGATGTCCTCTTCAGGTGACCCGCTGAGTGTCGCAGTGGTGCTGGGTGTCTTTGCTGGAGTGGAGAGGCTGAGGTTCAAGGAAGACACCTGATATCCAGGGTATCCAGGACTTGCGGGAGCCTTTTTTGGAGCGAAGCTTTCCACCTTACTCAGCAACTCTGACAAGGCTGGGCTCGTCTTGGAGAAGTCTGTTTGAAGCGTTGAATTTGGGGTGGGCATGGCCTTCAGCTCTCTCTCAGTGAGCTGACGATTCAGGTACTCAATGACCTCCTGATTGGACTTGATGACATCCTGAGCCTCGAGCAACTTTCGCTTCATCTCTTCTAAATCTTCCTGCAACTTCTCCTCTCTGGCCTTCCCTCGCAACAACTCGTTGTCCCGCTCCTCGAGTTGATGTCGGTTCACTTGACCCTCCCTCTCTAGCTCATGTCTGGCCCTCTCAAACTGGGCCAGCTCAGTTGCTCGTTGTCGCAACTTGGCCTTGCTTTCCTTTGAAGCTTGGTGCAAGCTCTGAATGATGCGATTGCCCTTGACAATCTCTTGGCTGGAGAGGTTAAACTTTTCTTCCAGAGTTTGCACCTGCTTCTTCAGTGCACCGACATTTTCCTCCAACATTCGGCGTTGGTTCACAGCCTCCTCAATCTGAATAGCTTGACTCGCAGCATGCTGCTCCCTCACTGCCAATTGTTCTCTGGTGGAAGCCAGTTGGACCTTCAACTCCGTCAACTCTCTTTCATGACGGAACTTTTGTTCTTCCAACTGCTTCAAGTGTTTTTTCAACTCGCTGGATTCAGCAGTTGCATCTTTCAGCTCCTTTTCAGCTTCCAATAACCGATGTTGACAGCTCTCCCCTGTGGCTGTCAGTGATTGGCGAGCCCGTTGGAGTTCCTCTGCAGAGGCTTCCGCACGTTCGGCGCGTTCGACAGCTGCGGTCAGCGCCGCCTTTTGCCGAGCCTCGGCCGAGGCCTTGTCCTCAACATGTTGACGTTGAAGGTCGGCGAAGGCACGGGCATGCTCATCCTTTAAAGTATTCACTTCCCTCAAATGGGTTGTCTGCAAGGAGTTTTCCAGATGGCTACGCTCATCTGCCACCACTCGGGCACGTGCTGTCAGCTCATCCACCTGTTTCTTGCTGTTCTGCAAAGCTTCACCATATTCTCCCAGCCGCCGCTCTGCCCCTTGCAATTCTGCACGGCACAGACGCAGCTTTTTGGCCAAGTGCTTCTTCACCACCTCGTCTGAACCTTGCCTCAAGCGCAAATCGATGTGGATGAGCTCCCGGAAATTGGTGGACTCCACGATATTCAGCCGACTCTCCCCAGCAGCAGTGCATTCCAAGGACGCAATCATCTTGGAATTGGCTCCTTGCGGTGCCTCACAGCATCTTCGAAGGAGGTCCGCCAGTTGTTCTGGAAACGATTGAAAATCCACCAGCAAGCGCTGCTCCGACCTCAAAGCATGAAAGTCACTCTCCCCAAGAGCAAGGCTGTGGTAGAAGAGCAAATCTTTCGCATCTGTGAGCTCCAGAAGAAGGCTTCGTGGATGTGCTGGATTGTCTGCCCAAAGGCGGATTGTCAACTGCGCCGTGTAGTGGTCGCGTCCGATGGGTTTGATCAACACGGCCACCTCCTCTGCAAAGGTATGTGGAGTCTCCTCATCTTCCAACTCAGCTCGCATGGCCACCGGTACCGGTTATGGTTGTGGCAGCCGATTTGTTTCAGTGAGAACCTTCTCACTGAGCGGCAAGGTATTTTACTTAAATCAAATAGAATGTGGTGTCCTGAGACTTTGCATTGACTACTGTTTGCTTGGTGCTTAAGATGAAATGAAATCAGCCGCTGTCAGGGACTTTCCAGAGCCTAAACCATATTGTTTCGGGTCTGTCTGGCTATATACTTGAAAGACCTTTTTTGCGTGCGCAAACCTTCTTGATCCAAATTTTACCAAATACAAATGGCTCACAACTCTGCAATGCTCCGATGAAGCTGCTCAATTGCTCATGATCTGAATCTAAGAAAGTCTTCCGGAATCCGTTTTGCCCCACCTCGTAGTACCAGGGCCTACTGAACCCCTTTCTGACCTGGCACTGAAGCTGGATTCAACTACAAGTTCAATGGAAAAAGAGGTATATAGTGTTGTGACTTGCCTGAACAGTAAACTCATTAAACCTCTTAACTTTGCTTCTGTCAAAACACAGAACATAGGGCGTCCTAAAAAACACGAGATGTCCTTCCTTCCTGGTTGTGCTGTGTTTCGCTGCGTAACAACACCATTTGGAGTCTTCCAGGTGTTCGAAGTTTTTACCAATTTCAATCGACAGAACTCCATATCTTTCGACCCGCAAAAATGCCAACTTCCATCACTTCAGTCTGGTTTGAACCTTTCATCTAGCAAGCAGTCGAAGTCCGTCAGACTGGACTTGGCCAAGAAATGCAGTGGCTCCTGTGCTGGGGCCTATGGTAGGCTTGCTGTGACGTTGATGCCAAAGGGTGCCATGGCGACTTTGTGACGACTATTGGATCCACCACATATCTGCCATATCGACGCCGTCCTCTGGAGGTTCCAGCCTGTGGTGACATAAGCAAGTCGTGGAATGAAGGTACCCAAGATAGACCCACTATTGAGGATGCAAAAAAAATTGAAGACAAGTTTTCAAAAAAGGTTCCACTACTGACTCTCTAACTCACTAGCTGCCGCTTGCTAATTCAACAGTGAGACATTAATTCACCAACTCTGCAACCCACTCACTATCACTGACTTCAACTCACTCACAAACTCTCAAACCCACTCACTCGCTCGACAGCTACTCTTTCCCGCAGAAACGGCAAAATATCGATCACATCCCTTCAGCCAATCAAACAACCAAGCAATCAGTCCAGCAATTCTTCAAGCAATCAACCAACCAGTCAGTCAATCGACTAATCCATGAGTCCACCAATCACACCTAGTTTTCTTTGGAAACTCCCGCGGCTCCCTGGGGTCTGGTTTAAAGGTACAGAGACTATCTGAGACTAAGCCACCCGATTTCCACTGGTGGGAACCATCAGGACTTATCGACTTATCCACGGTGCCACCCAGGCACCCTTTCTGCTCTTGCACCTCCTGCTGGATGGCCATCGCTTTCAAACGAAACCGTTGGCAAAGAGAAATGAACTGTAGCAGCAACATCCCCGATCGTACTCATACATCCCCAATGCATCTTCTCCCTCATTAGCCTGTTCTTTAGCCTGCATCACCCATCAGAACTGATTGTAATTAAGGCCATCTCGGGGCATAATTCCATCTCATGTTGCGGTTTCCTGCCTCTCGGTCTGCTTCCATCTTCCTTAGGTGCCGGCACTAGTTGATCAAAAAGGGATTGGCGGGTCATGTTTGCTATTGGTTGCACAGAAGTTGCTGTTTGCTTTGGCAGTGCTGCTGCTTTCAATTTGTTTCCGACAAGCAACAACCTTCCTTGAATTTCAGTGCTTAGAACGTGTCAATAAGGGAGCGAGAGAGAGAGAGAGAGAAAGACAGAAAGACAGAAAGACAGAAAGACAGAAAGACAGAAGGACAGAAAGACAGAAAGACAGAAAGACAGAAAGACAGAAAGACACAAAACACAAAGACAGAAAGACAGAAAGACAGAAAGACAGAAAGACAGAAAGAAAGAAGGAAAGAAAGACAGAAAGACAGAAAGACAGAAAGACAGAAAGACAGAAAGACAGAAAGACAGAAAGACAGAAAGATAGAAAGACACAAAGACACAAAGACAGAAAGGCAGAAAGAAAGAAAGAAAGACAGAAAGAAAGAAAGACAGAAAGACAGAAAGACAGAAAGACAGAAAGACAGAAAGAAAGAAAGACAGAAAGACAGAAAGACAGAAAGACAGAAAGAAAGAAAGACAGAAAGACAGAAAGACACAAAGACACAAAGACACAAAGACACAAAGACACAAAGACACAAAGACAGAAAGAAAGAAAGACAGAAAGACAGAAAGACAGAAAGACAGAAAGACACAAAGACACAAAGACACAAAGACACAAAGACACAAAGACAGAAAGACACAAAGACACAAAGACAGAAAGACACAAAGACACAAAGACACAAAGGCAGAAAGACAGAAAGACACAAAGACAGAAAGACAGAAAGACAGAAAGACACAAAGACACAAAGACACAAAGACACAAAGACACAAAGACAGAAAGAAAGAAAGAAAGAAAGACAGAAAGACAGAAAGACACAAAGACACAAAGACACAAAGACACAAAGACACAAAGACACAAAGACAGAAAGAAAGAAAGACACAAAGACACAAAGACACAAAGACACAAAGACACAAAGACACAAAGAAAGAAAGACAGAAAGACACAAAGACACAAAGACACAAAGACACAAAGACACAAAGACACAAAGACAGAAAGACAGAGAGAAAGAAAGACAGAAAGACAGAAAGACAGAAAGACAGAAAGACACAAAGACACAAAGACACAAAGACACAAAGACAGAAAGACAGAAAGACAGAAAGAAAGAAAGACAGAAAGACAGAAAGACACAAAGACACAAAGACACAAAGACACAAAGACAGAAAGACAGAAAGAAAGAAAGAAAGACAGAAAGACAGAAAGACAGAAAGACAGAACGACAGAAAGACAAAGACACAAAGACACAAAGACACAAAGACAGAAAGACACAAAGACAGAAAGACAGAAAGAAAGAAAGACACAAAGACAGAAAGACACAAAGACACAAAGACACAAAGACACAAAGACAGAAAGACACAAAGACACAAAGACACGAAGACAGAAAGAAAGAAAGACAGAAAGACAGAAAGACAGAAAGACAGAAAGACACAAAGACACAAAGACAGAAAGACAGAAAGAAAGAAAGACAGAAAGAGAGAAAGACACAAAGACACAAAGACACAAAGACAGAAAGACAGAAAGAAAGAAAGACAGAAAGACAGAAAGACACAAAGACAGAAAGAAAGAAAGAAAGAAAGAAAGAAAGACAGAAAGACAGAAAGACACAAAGACACAAAGACACAAAGACACAAAGACACAAAGACACAAAGACACAAAGAAAGAAAGACAGAAAGACACAAAGACACAAAGACACAAAGACACAAAGACACAAAGACACAAAGACAGAAAGACACAAAGACACAAAGACACAAAGACACAAAGACAGAAAGACAGAAAGACACAAAGACACAAAGACACAAAGAAAGAAAGACAGAAAGACAGAAAGACACAAAGACACAAAGACACAAAGACACAAAGACAGACACAAAGACACAAAGACACAAAGACACAAAGACAGAAAGACACAAAGACACAAAGACAGAAAGACACAAAGACACAAAGACAGAAAGAAAGAAAGACAGAAAGACAGAAAGACAGAAAGACAGAAAGACAGAAAGAAAGAAAGACAGAAAGACACAAAGACACAAAGACACAAAGACAGAAAGAAAGAAAGACAGAGAGAAAGAAAGACAGAGAGAAAGAAAGACAGAAAGACAGAAAGACAGAAAGACAGAAAGAAACAAAGACACAAAGACACAAAGACACAAAGACACAAAGACACAAAGACACAAAGACACAAAGACAGACACAAAGAAAGACACAAAGACACAGACACAAAGACACAGAAAGACAGAAAGACACAAAGACACAAAGACACAAAGACACAAAGACACGAAGACACAAAGACAGAAAGACACAAAGACACAAAGACACAAAGACACAAAGACACAAAGACACAAAGACACAAAGACACAAAGACACAAAGACACAAAGACACAAAGACACAAAGACAGAAAGACAGAAAGACACAAAGACACAAAGACAGAAAGACACAAAGACACAAAGACACAAAGACACAAAGACACAAAGACACAAAGACACAAAGACACAAAGACACAAAGACAGAAAGACAGAAAGACACAAAGACAGAAAGAAAGAAAGACAGAAAGACAGAAAGACACAAAGACACAGAGACACAAAGACACAGAGACACAAAGACACAAAGACACAAAGACAGAGAGAAAGAAAGACAGAAAGACACAAAGACAGAAAGACAGAAAGACAGAAAGACAGAAAGACACAAAGACACAAAGACACAAAGAAAGAAAGACAGAAAGACAGAAAGACACAAAGACACAAAGACACAAAGACAGAAAGACAGAAAGACACAAAGACAGAAAGACAGAAAGACAGAAAGACACAAAGACACAAAGACACAAAGACACAAAGACAGAAAGAAAGAAAGAAAGAAAGAAAGAAAGAAAGACAGAAAGACAGAAAGACACAAAGACAGAAAGAAAGAAAGACAGAAAGACACAAAGACACAAAGACACAAAGACACAAAGACACAAAGACACAAAGACAGAAAGAAAGACAGAAAGACAGAAAGACAGAAAGACACAAAGACACAAAGACACAAAGACAGAAAGACACAAAGACACAAAGAAAGAAAGACAGAAAGACAGAAAGACAGAAAGACACAAAGACACAAAGACACAAAGACACAAAGACAGAAAGACAGAAAGACACAAAGACACAAAGACAGAAAGACACAAAGACACAAAGACACAAAGACACAAAGACACAAAGACACAAAGACACAAAGACACAAAGACACAAAGACACAAAGACACAAAGACACAAAGACACAAAGACACAAAGACAGAAAGACACAAAGACACAAAGACACAAAGACAGAAAGACACAAAGACACAAAGAAAGAAATACAGAAAGACAGAAAGACAGAAAGAAAGAAAGACAGAAAGACAGAAAGACAGAAAGACAGAAAGACAGAAAGAAAGAAAGACAGAAAGACACAAAGACACAAAGACACAAAGACAGAAAGAAAGAAAGACAGAAAGAAAGAAAGACAG